TTATCCTTTTTGATATCATCAATCAATCATAAGATTTCTTTTCCTAGTAATGTACTAGATGTAATTTATCTTTAGTTTCAACATTTTGAATTAAACTATAAGAATATATGAAAATGCCGCAACAAACATTGTCAGAAACCTTATTTTATAGATAGTCAAAATTACCAATTCAGACACAACTGCAAGGAGCACTTATATACATAGGAAAGGTTGCAAACAGCTACAATAGACAAAGTTACCCCATTGCCAGGTAACATTGATCACCATGTACAAAGCCTTTTTTTTCTCTGACATGAAACAACCAATTTCCACCAGATCTTCACATATGTAGCAGTTTAGTGCATGCACAACTTTTGCCATCACTATTTGCATCAAATATACATCCAATAAACAGAATTTTAAACTTTTACCCAAAAAGTGGAACAAAGTTACCCCGGTTTATGGTATTGCTGGTATTTTTACTATAAAAATGTATTCCTACACTTTTATAGTATTGTTTTTGTTTGGAGGTTCACTATTTGCCCATAACTGGGAGCCTAACAAATGCCACTACCCCTGGGACCTGGGAACAACAGTAATTATGAAATGATTCCATGCTCCTCAAAACCTTAAATCTCCTGATCAGAGGTCTTGCTGCCAAATGTAATTTTTCATCATACCCATTGTCTTTAAGTGTCATATACCTACCAAAGAGCAAGAAAATCTCTGAAATAAATGATGGAATATATTGGAAACAGAATCTGAGGCTACTTGATATAGTATCTATTTTTTTTATTTTTGTTTCCTTGTGAGTGGGCAGAGAGCTTTTCCCAGTTTTGGGGCACAGCAAGGTGAATGAGAATGGAGATTTAATGTGGGGTCATGTGTCTGGTTGGTGAAAAGCTGAGAGAGTATCCATGCTGTATGTTTACACCTATGTGATCTTGAATAATCCTGCAGCCAATTTCAGAATGTGTTGAAACCCTCCCTGCCCCGCCCCCACCGGAAGGGAAGGCAGTGACTTATGCTGTAACAGTCAAACTCATTCTCCGCTCCCACAAGCAACCACCAGGGCTTTTTCTCTCAAAAAGAATTTAATCATTGCCTGTCACTCATTTCAAAAGTGACAACAAATGGTGACAGAGGTAGGCTTTGTTTAATCTCATCAAATGACCAAGAACAAACAAAGACAAGATGAACTTGAAGGTGACCCAAATCAAATTTGCTATTCCAACCATCACTGCTGGCTAAATCTGGCCAGTGGGTGGGTGTCAAACTAGCTTCATTAGCCCATTGTATAAATAACTGTAGATTATTCCAAAAGCTTCTGTTCCACAATCTGAAGCTAAAAGTAATTTAAAGAAACATGTCTGTAAATAATCAAGACCACTTAACCTATAAAATTTAAAATACATCAACTGTTAGTAAGTATCAATTTGCAAAACTATTCCCATCTCTTGTACTTTTAATTATGTTTTACATTTTGACATTGTTTTGTCTTTAATCATTGAATTCATTTTCACACACACATATATATATATATTAGGAAGATGTACTGATTTATTAAATGTTTGTTATTTTAAGCCTGATAAGATACAAAAACAGGTTTCTCAGGTTAACTTTCATTCTCACCATTAATTTGTTATTTATTACCTTTGACGCCATATTACCGTCAAGTAGCTCTTTGCTCGTCACCTTTGTAGTTCTGTACATTAAGTGTTGATTCCAATCTGGGAATGATTATTTACTTGTGAAAAATACACAAAATGTGGCACAAGGCTAAAAATGTAAAATTGGAGAGGCTGGTTATTACTGTTCTAACTTTAACTCAGATAGTTGCATTCACTAATCCAATCACACTTTAATGCTCCAAGAACCATAATACCACATTTATACTAATGCATCCATAATACCACCTCCAAAACACTGTATATTCTCTATGAAATTCTAAATTGATACCCAATATTTACAATAATATTACAAACAATTAGGGAGAGGAATCAGACATGTTTTTATTTATATAAAAAATAATAAGGCCATGATTTGAATGATAATTATATACAATGAAAATATATATTAATATGGGGTCCTCCCCACAGCCTAGCAATTAGCAGAAGAGCAAATTAACTGGGCAAAAAGTATAGTGGAAATGTGTAAAAGAAAAAATAAGAATAAATAAAAGGAAACCAAAACAAAAAGTCCACCCACAGCTCCAGAGAACTATGCCTTCTGTCAGCTAACGAGGTAAGAACAAAAAGGAAAAACGTAAATATGGTGGGACTAAAAAAGAAAACAAAAAAAAAAGGCCAATGATCATTTACCTTCTAGCCAAGTTAATCAATTTTCAGGGACTAAAACAAAATTTTAACTATTCTAACTTAAGTGGGTTGGGCGAGCATGTCCTTCAACCAGTCAGTTCATGATGCCAATAAAGGTTAACATCATTCACTCACAACAGTCATCCACCTTTCAGCAGTCCACAGAGGAGAAAAGGGATTTCAAGATGGCTATCAGGCCTCTTCATATGTTCCCTATCAGAAACTCTTAATCCACCAGTAATCCACTAATGTTTTATATCTATTGTTACCCAATCGTAAATAGAAGTTCAAATTGCATGTTCTTTCTTATTTGACACAAATAAGCGCACCTGCAATCACAACACAGTTCCTCCACATGCAATTCTGTAGCCATATTTGTTACCTTGTCAAGACATTTTAGTTAGCCTAGCCCTGACTACTTGAGCTTGATCCTTCTTGTTCAACAAGGAGACCAGCTCAGTCTTAGCTATGACTAACTCATCCCTATCCCTTAATTTATCTACTCTAGATTCTTGTGCCTTTTGCACCATGAGTCTATCTAGGTTGAGTGATCATCTATAATCAGCAGCAAAAGATCTAAAATCTCTATCTTTCTGAGATGAGGTATTGTAACTACTTACAATATTTACATCATTTGGATTGTTGTCTTCATCTTTATTGACATATTCACAACCATTGTAGAGTGCCATAGAAAAACAAAAATAACAAAAAATTGTACTATGAGCTGTGGTAAAAAAATATTTACTGAGACATCAGGTTTATAAATCTGATATCTCCAAGGACACTTGGCCTAGTGGACAAAAGCATTGGTTAAAGTAATCCAAAAAGTGACCTGACCCAAAGAGTTGTGAGTTCAACACCTGTCCACAGCAGAGAGAACAAAGATTTGGAGAAGTGAATTACTAAAAGGAATTAACTGAAACTGAGATATCTGAAAATGGCATGGCATGCAGAATTATAACAATCTACCCCTGTGGACTAAATAAAACATTCAGTTCAAAATTCCAATGTATATCACCTGAAGAAGGTGCATGCAATGGCTGAAATGTCTTGAATATGGCAATAAAGATGAGGACAACAGTCTGAATAATATAAATATTGTAAATAGCAAAAAACCTAATTTTGTAAAATACTAATAATACTCTTAAGTAACTTAACCATTCTATAATGAGGGATTTCAAAATGATCAGTCCCATGAATGGGTGTGGTTTTGTGGTGAATACCTAAACAGTGACTTCCACATAAAAGCTGGAGAGGTATTCAATGATGTGTCAAAAACTGACATCTATATTGTAAAAATAGCTGGTAATTTGGGTCTGAATTTCTGGTATGAGGAGTTATCATTATGTACACTATTTATATTCAGACTATTGTCCTCATCTTTGTTGTTGTTGTCATCACAATGTTTCGGAAGTTTTGCCTTTCAGTCTTCCTCAGATGTATATCAAACTGGGTAACCGACAGGGAATTCTGAACTGAAACCTTTATTTAATCTATGAAGGTATACTGTCCTTGTTCCACTGCTCATATCTAGAGATGTTGTCTAATTCTTATTTAGTACTGTTCAGTTATTATTATTAAGTATATATATATATATATATATATATATATATATACAAAAAAATTATTAATGAGAGAGAATAATAAGAGAACAGGAATTAAAAAGACAGAAGATAACAACTGACATTGCATTTAAACTTTTGAAGATCAAAGTTGACTGGAAAGCAATAAGCTAGAAAAGAGTTCCACAAGCAAGAAGTGCAATAGAAGAAACTCTTAGCACAGAAATTGTGGTTACATTTAGTCATTTCAAATATAAAATGAAGAGACTTTGCTGCCAATCTAGTACTGCACTTAAATTCATAAAGTGTAGGTACCAAAGAGGAAATTTCATCAGAACAATTACCATGAAAATATTTATAGAAAAGGCACAGTGAAGCAATTTTACAGCAATGGCAAAGTGACTGTAGTCGAGATGCCAGGTCAGGACCAATAACACTGCAGATTCTTCTTTGTATTTTCATCTTGAACCTCTAGATACATAACAGAAGCACCAGAGGATTTGAAAAAGTGCTCAACACAACTGAATTCCCAAAATTATTATTTATTATATATTAATATTTTGACTAAATGGAAGCACGAAGAGGAAGATTTTAAAGTCAGAATTTACGAATCCATCTGTGTTCTTTTTCAATGAGACAGGAAATTAACAAAGAAATCATACTAACTCTTCTGAGGAATGTTGCTGGTTAGAAGGCTCCATGTGAAAATTATACTGAGTATACCCAAATCCCTGTTTAATCCCTCAATGTGTGATTTTATTTTGAAAATAAATTTCAAATCCTTAAATGAAGACATTAAAAGCATGTGTCTGATGTCATCAACGCTATGAAACAGTTGGTTGAAGTGTGCAGTAACAGGGAAAATTGTTGTTGTCTTTGATGGTTGATACCTTTCTTAATAATTTCATTTATTGCATTTGTGACAGAAAAGTAAATTTTAATTTTGGGAAGTTAGCTACTCCAGAAAATTTCCAGTACTCCTTCTTCATAAGTAATGAAGTAAGCAATATTTTTATAAGTCAGTTTATTAAGATTCACAGTAAGCATAAAATCTCCTGCTTCTTTTTAACTAATTACATTATATATTACTAAATATATTTTTCATCTAACGTTTAACAAAATGACAAAAAAAAAGACATACCAAGGACCTCGACCACTTGTTTTTCTTGCTCCACCTGCCTGGATGCCAGTGTTGTGTTGTTGAATACGTCTATTTGGGTCAACTGTATATCCAATATAGATACGACCTTTGAAACTAGGGTTTATATTGTAGAGCAGGTAGACACCATAGAAATCTTCAATGACATGAGCCATCTTCACAGAAACTGTAAAAGAAAAAAAAAATGTATTGTAATAACTTTGAAATTCAAAATTATATAATTTTAGTTAAAGAATAAAAATTTGGGATATGATTGGTCCTTTAACTTGTGCACCAATCATTTCAGCAGGTATTATAAAGTGGAAACGCCACCCACTACTTTTTGCAATTTTTACTTACAGCTAGATGAAACAAGTGAATTCCACTTCCAAATTTCAAATTCATAGCTTTCCTTCTCCTGACCAATGAGTGAGTCCAATGTATCCAAACTCCTTAACATCTGGAAAAACAGATAGATTCATGCCTTTTCCAAGGGAATTAATGCAAAGTAATTAATTGGGTGCATGCCTGAATTGTTAGTATTCTGAACAACTGACCTAGGTTAGAATCTCATCATGGTCAAGAGAAATTATTTTTGGGGACAAGCCCCCAGCATGTGGAAACTGCCTGAAAATCATATCACATAATATGTCAAACCTTGAGATTGAAATTGAGTAGACTAATAGAAGCTCTTTAGCATTACTTGGTTATTTATCTAGAGAGGATGTCTTGATAAAAAAAAAACCCTTCCACATATCGGGATATTCTTCTTCTATATGTTGTATCTCTTCAGGACATTGGCAATCATGTCCTTCCACAATTTCATGTCCTATGTAGCTTTTAATAAATTTTGTCTTTTTGTTATCACTCCTAAACTTTGTTTTGCCATCCATTTACTCAAGCTCATTAGGTAGGTTATGCATTGTTTTTCTCTCTCTTGCCTTCTGTCCTGTGAATGTCAAATTTTCCAAGCTCTCTTTCCTCATTATGTACCCGAGAAATTTCAACTCTCTCTACCTGATGTTAAGTATAAGTGTGCTTTTTGCTTCCATTTTCTCTAAAACTTCATCATTGCTCACATATACTGTCCCTGGTATTCTCAGAATCCGTCTGTAGAATCACATTTCTCTTGCTTAAAGTTTCTTCTTCATTTGTGCGGAGATTGTTCAGCATTCACTGCCATATAAGAGGACTGATATTATATAACAGTTCAGTTTACTTTTCTTTGTTTCTAATGAAATTTTTCTGTTTCTTAATAATTTGCTTAGCTTTTAGAATACATTTTTCACTATCCCAATACACCTTTGGATTTCAGTATTGCACGTTCTGTCCTGTTAAAACAATTCCCAGATATTTAAATTTCTGTATGTGTTTAATTTTGTAATATTGATCCTTTTGCTAACAAGCATGCATTTTGTTTTCCTGAAATTCTTTAAAAAAAAAGAAAAAAAAAAGGAAAAAAGAAACATCATGCAAGTTCAATCTGCTACATGGGGAAATAGTGTGACCTTAAAGCAAAATCAATACAAAATCTCAGCCAGAGTTTGAACTCAGTTCACCAAATCTAGAGGAACAATTGCACTTCAGTAAAAGAAAAAAATAATCTAAGAAAATTTAACCAACATTTAAAAAGGAAGAAAAATGCTCTTTTCTTTTTTTTTTTTTTTTTTTTTCTTCCTTAATTGATTAACAGCAAACATATATTTTGGATTTATTTTTCATGCATTGTTTTCAAACAATCTAAAACAATGACTCCAAAAAATGTACATTACCGCACCTAGGGGTATTCTAATATAATAGGTAATTGTATTCTAATATAAACATGACATAACATAAAATAATAATGTATTATCTAAATGGCACATTGTAAATTATTCTCGCATTGAATTTCACCATGAGATGGTCCTCAGTTAACAATGAAGATTTAGTTTCCAAATACCATTCTTGGTAAATAATAGTTGTATACAAAACAGGAGGAGGCATGGTGTAGTAATGGATAGCAGCTCAGATTGAGGAATTGGAGAGCTGAGTTCGAATTCCAGTCAAATCCATTACATTCACTTACCTTTGGGAAAGGTATGAATCCTCTTCTCCTCCTCCCAGTTATGAGTAAATAGCAGGACAAATTGGGTTCTATAGTCTTGGATGGCAACTGGTCTACCACAGGAAGAAATGCCAACTTACTGCGGGGAAAAAAATCTGCCTCGTCAGTCATGTATTGAAAGATGCGTGTATCACGCGTGGCACATAACTGATATAAACCAGATTCCCTATGGCCTCACTGGAAAGTCAGCCTTTAATGGTAATGTGATCACTCTATTAAGTTAAATTATTTAAATGAATAATTATTTAATAATACCAAGTTGTTAATATAAATTTAAAAATTTATGGAATTTTTTTGAGGTTGTAGTCTTTGACTTTGTACAAAACACTTATTTAATGAGCCTAATCAGATAAATGAAAGTGTTTGGTATTTTCTGACTTAGGCAACCATGAAAAAAACCCTTATATATTAATGGCAGCCTGATTAAAAACAAGTTTAGAAATCAATAATTTAAATTTTATTCAGTGTAATACTTGATGAGAAATTTTTAACCAAAGTGGATTTAATCCTACAAATATTTACATTTCAAAATATTCTGGGTAGATGATTTTGTTTTCTTGGGTAGCAAAATGCAGAAATGTATCTCTTGAAAGTATTTCTTTTCTTTTTTTTTTTAACTTGCCAGCTGTGACAAAGGAAAACAGCTGATGTTTAAGGAGAAGAGAATGTATTTAAGAAGGCTGACTGACCATAATAACTAACAGGAAAGAGGCTACAAATGAATCTAAGTAATTTTCCCTGCATGGAAACTGATTAAACATAAACTGGAAGAAGACAGAATGCATGGTTGTTAGCAAAAGGATGAGCCTAACATATAAATTACAAATTGGAGATACCAAAATCAAATAAGTAAAACAATTTAAATGTCTGGGAAATGTTTTAACAGAGGATGGAAAATGCGACATTGAAATCTGAAGGCCCACTGGGATAGCAAAAGTTGCATTCCAAAAGCTAAGCAGAGTATTAAGAGAGAGAAACACTTCATTAAAAGCAAAGAAAAGTGTGATATCTGTCCTCCTGTATGGCAGTGAATGCTGGACAATCTTTTGAAGGATGAAGAAGAGACATGAAGTAAGAGAAATGTGATTCTACAGAAGGATGCTGAGAATACATAGACTGAGTATGTGGACAATGAGAAACTTTTAGAGAAAATGGAAACAAAAAACACATTGATACCTCACATCAGGTAGACAGAGTTAAAATTTCCTGGGGGACATAATGAGGAAAGAGGGTTTGGGAAATCTGATACTCACAGAACAGATAGGGACAGCAGAAAATAATGCATAACATACTTGACAAGCTTGAGTAATTGGATGGTAGAACAAGGTTTAGGAGAGATAATAAAAAGACAAAATTTATTAAGAACTACCAAGTACAAGAAATTGTGGAGAGCCATTATTGCCTATGTCCTGAAAGAACATGGCATATAAATGTACAAATAGATGTTATGAAGTTATTGGCTCAAGCAAGAAGCCTTTTTACTGACAAAAAAAATTCTTGATGTTTGGTAAGTGGGTCAGGCCAAGAATTTTTCCCCAATGTGAAAAATTCTTGGCCTGACCCACTTACCAAACTTCAAGAATTTTTTTTTTTCACCCATATAAACATATCAGGCAATCTACTCAGACCTATTGTATCATAAGTTCCTACACCCATATATCAATTAACAAAACCTTTAAATCAATTAAATCATACCATACTTACCTACCAAATACAGTATCAGCTCTACTAATGAATTTTTTTACAAATTCTTCACACCGAAAACCTCAGAACAAAATCTTAGCACCCTTAGACTGAAAATTTGTTCACTAACATTCCGGTCCATGAAACAATTGACATTATTTTAAATAACATTTATCATCATTCTGTTCTGCTACCACTGAAAATTAACTCCACAATATTAAAACAATTTATCAGCATCCACAACAGAAGTCTTTTCCATGATCACCTTGGTAATATTTATATTCAGAGTGATAAATAAAAACGATGTGTGTATCATTTAATATATATTTGAGGATGATCCTCGAAGTAATACTCATACAACAAAAAGAGACATTTATAAATAAAAACAATTATAATTTAAGAAGCTTGCATCCTCAAATGTATATAATAAAATAAAATCAACACACACAAACCTCACCTACATCACAACACTCACCATTTCTACGAAACTTAACATTTGTCTCTACCTACCCTGATGTCAACTTCAGGAAGTCAAAAGCTTGGACCATATTTTTTTCAAAATGAAATTTGGACAATTTGTGATGGAATTTCATCAAGGATTAATCATAATTTGAAAAATTTATATATTTTTTATTTAATACTTAAATGGCAAAGTAAATATTTGTTTATATATATATATATATATATATATATATATATATATATATATATATATATATATATATATATCCGATGCAATAAGAACGAAAGTAATATATAAATTCCAATGTTCACAGCATTAATCCAAAAGAGGGGATGATACCAATAGTAGAGCGATAATTATTTATTATAATTTTATCATAAAGACAAAACTATTTTACTCACGACAAAGATGCAACTTGGTTTCAGTGCATTTCAACTGCACTTCGATGGGTGAGAATCGAAAATGATTATGCAGTTGAAATGCACTGAAACCAAGTTGCATCTTTGTTGTGAGTAAAATGGTTTTGTCCCTGTGATAAAATTATAATAAATAAATAAATAAATATATATATATATATATATATAAGAAATATTTACTTCGCCATTTAAGAATTAAATAAAAAATTTTACTTATGTAAAGGAAAAAATAAATAAAAAAACAGAATAACCTCTATTTTCAAAAACATTAAAAAAACACAGAATATTAAAAAAAAAATAGCTTAAATATGAGTCTTGTCTATGACACCAAAAATAACATTGTTACATTATCTTTGATACTCAGAGACAAAAGATAGAAAAAAAAAGGAATAACGAGAGAGTCTAAAGAGAAAAGAGTATTATGAAAAGAAGAAATAACCATAAGGTCCTGCACATATGCACACATACAGGTATACAAAAACATACACACAAAGAAGTAGAAAAATTCAAGCTAACACTCATAAAAAACTGCATATTTTAACATAATATAAAAATAAGGAAAATGAAAAAAAAAAAAATCATTATACAATTGCTGATAACTCCTGATTAGTGGACTGAACAATTACACTGCTCGAAGCATATCTAAATGTAAACAAATCACGTCACACACTATGAAATGGACAAAGTCCAACAATTATTTTAATATATTTTATTGTTATACATTATTTATAGAGACACAAATATTTAAGTAAATGCTCTGTTTATGACAAAACAGTATTAACAACATTTACTGGCTTGAATGTCCGAGAAATTTTCATACAAAATATGTGTCCTCTGACAGGAATCGAACCTGTATCCTATAAGGAACCATCATATAGTCAGACGTGCTATACCAGTTTAGATAGAGGTGTGTCTGGTTAGCAGATATGAATGTTCAAGGGAAATCATGGAAGACTGTAGTTTAAAAGCAGAAAAATTCACCTTGCTAAACAGATATAACATGTCAGGATATATGATGGTTCCGTGTAGGATACAGGTTCAATTCCTGTTGGAGGACACATATTTTCTATGAAAATGTCTTGGACGACCAGGTCAGTAAATGTTGTTAATATTGTTTATTACAAACAGCATTTACTTAAATATTTGTGTCTATATAAATAATACATGACAATATAACATATTAAAATAATTGTCAGACTTTGTCTATTTTGTAGTGTGTGATGTCATTATATATATATATATATATATATATATATATACACACACACACACACACACACACACACACACACACATCTTTCATTTGTGCAAGTTTCATTAAAAACGACAGACAACGTAGTACGATTAAGTTTTTATTTAATTTTTCTTGTGTTCAAACAAGTGTTTCCTTTTTTGGACACAGAGTATAAAAAAATCAAATTAATTATCTACTACAAAAAAATTAAAAACAGCTCACCTTATCTTCGAAAATAACAATGCACCAGCAAAGTCAAAATTACAACAAACGAACATTATCTATGAGTTCAAATCCTAAGGAACTGTGTTCCTGATCAAACCGAATTCATAAATAATTAAATCAGTCACACGACTACATGCCTATCCAGACATCTTATGTTACACCTATATGACCACAGCTCCATTAGAATCCATTTAAACACGCACACAAACTTACCAGACTCCATCCAAAACATACTAGTAGAAAATACAAACATAATAATTTCATCCACCTGTAAAAAAAAAAAACGATTAAAAATAATGGAAGCCTTAATAATAAAAAAGAAAAAGCCAACACTTAATATTATTAACTACAAACATGGCCACAATGCACTGTGTTCGGAAAATAAAACATCTCTATAACACTAAAAACATACACACAATGCACACACTCAATTAAATTGAAAAAATAAAATCATCCTTGATAATGGCTAAAAGTATAGATGAAAGTACTTGGAATTATAAAACATTTGAACAGTTTCTACATACTCTATGTCCAAAAAAGAAAACACTTATTTGAATACAAGAAAAATTAAATAAATAAATATATATGTATATTATTAAAATAGAAATAAAATTGGAAATTTTCAATCACTGATTGTGACTCAACAAGAGAAAGTCAATGAGTGGTAAAAAAAATTACAAAAACTTTGATTTTACCTTCAATAAGTATTGAATGTTTTTACTTCTATTTGAATAATTATCACTCTAGCCATATACTGACCACTTCTGTTAAATTTGATATATGTTAAATTATATAATCATACATATATTATTTGCTTGTATTAATAGGAATCATTTTTATTTTATTATATATATATATATATATATATATATGTTAAATGCTATGTCAATCACTATCTACTGACCTCCTGATTACTCTCTTCTCTTTCTGCTCATCATTTATATTTCTGTTTCTAAATCTTACACACCCTGTAACCCTGTGTTTTAGCGGGATTACTGCCTCGCTTGGGGTGATTCCTATATATATATATATATATATATGATAAAATAAGCTTGGAGCAAGACAAAAAGGAGTAAAGAATAGAATGATAGACAGAATGAGAGAAAGAGTGAAATTAATTTTAATTTTGAAAGTTTATATTTATTTTGGAGCAGAGACTGCTCAAAGAAAAGTGACTTTGGCAGAAAGATATTACCATAGAGACCATGTGGCAAGATTGGGATGACAGTTGATTGATGACACTGTCTAAAAAGAGCCAGTTAGGAAGACAGCAATTGAAAGATAAAATTTGGTAATTTTAAAGACAGGTTAGAATTGGAAAACTGATTTATTCTGCCTATCAAAAAGTGGAAATTGTAAACAAGTCAAAGAAATGAAACTTTTTTTTATGTAAAATCCCAACCCAGGGTTTTTTAAAGAGTAATGACCCTAACAAGATAGATAACTGACTGGAGGAAACAGCTGGTAAATTTCTAATTGTACAACCAAAACCAGGGTGGGAAAATTTGGCCACAAGAAATTAAAATGATAATAGTATTAAAAGCTAAGCCATACCATGTGGTTTGAGAAGCAGATTTGCCAAACAGACAACTGAGGTGACAAATGAAGATGAGATACTGAGAGTGGAGAAGGAAGACAGAGGAATTACCTATGCTCATTGGGAGGTGTTGGTATGAGGCACAAATAAGAAAAAGAAGGCATTATCAGAGCAGATGATACTCTGTGACTGCTACACACAGGAAAAGGGATCTGTCCAAATTTGGAGATATAATTAATTTTCCACAGCCAGCCAACAATTTGATCCATGATCAATCAACACAATGTGGAACAGAGTGAAGCATGGCTTAGAATGACCAATTCCAACAGCCAGTGGCAGCATTGACCAGGGACCAACCTGGAAGACTGGTTACAAAATAGTTTTAAGGTATGCTATATTTATGGGTTAAAGTGCTCACTACCAGGGATAGAGCGTATGTAAATATAAAAATGGACATTGAGGTCAACACACAGCAGTGACTGTCTATTTTATCCTTAAATGCTAAGTATATATATATATATATATATATATATATATATATATATATATATATATATATTTATTTATGAAGAAATATAGTTTTAAAGTGTGCTATATTTACAGGATAAAGGGCTCAATATCATAGATAGAATGTATGTAAATATATATATATAAAAAGTGAACATAGAAGTGAACACTCAGAGGCAACAGGCTGTTTCATGCTAGATGCAATCGTCAGGCTGACAATTGCATTTAGCATGAAACAGCCTGTCGACTCTGAGTGTTGACTTCTATGTTCACTTTTATATATCTATATTTATATATATGTTTGGGCAGCAACCTTTCTTCTAAACATTTTTTTTTTAATATGACAGATAAGGAAAGAAAATTTTATTAATTTTTTTATTTAGTTTTTCCAACATTTTTACATTTTTCTGTTTGGTAGAAATAATGAAGTGCAAAAATTGTCTGTATTGTCTCAAGTGCTTTTGACCACTTCTTTAGCCATTTTCAAGGTGGTTTGTTTTTAGGTGTTGTTAATTTCTTTTCCTGTTTGACTGTTTACGATGTATTTTTTGTGTTACTTAAATACTAGTAGGAATGTTTATTCTGAGCTTCACAAGCTGAGTGTGGCTTTTTAGTTTTTAAAACACCTTCAACACACCATTTCTGCTGCTAAATAAGGTGAGATTTGTACTAGGTGCAACATGTTTTATATAAAGGGTCTCTCTCACAGCAAGATGTTTCTGGTAATGTGACTTATATAAAATGCTAGTGTTTTTTACCAGAATCTTCCTTAAAGATTGTTGTAAATTGTTGGTGGCTAAGTACTTTTTATAGAACTTTGATCAGATAAGTGGCATGTGAGGTGTCTACTCAAGGAGGTGGTGGTATGTCTGATATAGATTTATGACAAGAAAAACAGTCTTGCACTGATCAGTGAAATTGATATATTTGTGGAACCCCATTAGAAATTGTAGAAAAATTCAATAGATAGTAATATGAAGTAATATCACTAAAAATCTAAATTCTATATAGAGATCATCTCACAGAAATCAACATTTTTTTTTTTTTTACAAAAAGTAGGCTGTAGATGCAAAATTCAACATTAACATTTATTAACCAATCAGCAACATTATCATCTCAAACTCTCTTGCAGCTTTGGAAAATCAGACAACCATATGTTTGTTGTCTGCTATGAATTTTGAGAGATCATTCCAGAAAATGATTAACAATATTTTCCTACCTAACAGTAGATATTAAAACTTGGGAAAAATATTTATTAACCAATAAACTGCTGAGTTTAGTAAATCTAAGTTTTAGTTTCCTTGATCCATCTATTTTCTTATAAATATTTGTTACATAAATTCACAAGTTCAGTTTTCAAACTTCTGACTAGAATTATTGTGCACAAACTGATGACTCACACCTTTCACATAATTGACTACTCAAACTTTTGTATATTTATAGAGTAACTTCTTCCAAATAGCTTTGTGATGTATAAAATAAATATTACAACACATAAAACATACAGTTATGTAAACAAAGGAATATTATTGGTAGTAATAGCAGCACTCAATTGCTCACTGCTGGCTGATGGAAAATTAAATGCATACATAAAACAACGTAAATATGTGACTCTTGTTAAGTAGGTGTATTCAGCTTTTCAATCATACTATTGCAATTATTTCTGTTGCACTGTAAAACAAAATATTTTTTGTGGGACTCTGCTTGGAAGGATCTTTTGAAAGAAAACAAATACTCAGTAATAAAATCTATTTAAATTTGTAGAGCTGTGTTTGAAGATTATTTCTTTTCTTCCCTTTTCCACACTTTTTCCTCTACACACTATATTGATCATCACAAGTTTAGATTTGATGGAGATATTTTGATTAGTGACAATGAGATTTGCAGTTTTTTGTAATATAATTTTTACATGTTCTTTATGATTTTCGGCAGAAATATGGTGTTTAATGATTCTTCATATAGTGAATTCGTCCTGCTTATAATTATTGTTCATCTGGTTGCAGTAAAATATGTTGATGTTTTGTATGATATTTTATTACTGGTGCCATGCATTTTTTGTTAGAATAATTTTGTTTATATATTTCTTATCCTTGGCTGCCTTTATCTTATTGTATTCTTGGTTCATTGAAAATCCACAGAGCATTCAGAATTCAGACAATCCAAACAAATGAAGCTCTTCTTCAAAACAAGGAAAGAAATAAAAAAGATTTAAAATCTAAGTATGACATTTTCAAGAGTTACAAATTACAATTTCAGGAAACAATTATCAAATAAAACAAATTTAAATAGAAAATCTTTCCTCGTTTGTCTATTAATATGAAATAAAATAGTAATGAAGAAACTGGCTGTTTTAATGTTAGATAAAATCCCCTCCCCCAATATCTCTAGTGTTGTATATGTGAAGTTGAAGTGTCTGGTATTCTAATGTCTTACCTAGACTTTATTAATGGTATTTTTACCCAGCCTATCCATAATACCGTAATATGAAATGGAAATAGGTGGCAGAATTGTTTATACCATCAAATGCAGTGCTTCTTATTTGCATGATGGTTTTCTGGTATATGATAGAAAATAGAAAATTCTCCAATTCTCTGGAATTATTAATTGATGCTTTAAAAAAAAAAATAATTTAAATTAAGTTGACAATAAAGTAACTTTTAATATAAGTAATGAAAATGACAATTTTAAGCTTGGTGACAGAGTTTTAAAAAAAAAGCAAAAAAAAACTTTAAAAATATAGATACTTATTTGTTTTTTTTGATTTTTAACAATATTCACCTAATATAAGGCCCAAGAGCCACTCATAGCAGAAGGTTACTGAGTGTAGAAGGTAAGAAGTACAATTTATGAGGATATGTGGAACAGTAATGGTTAACCAGAGACTTGAAGAATTTAAGTTGATTGGTTGATTTTGTTTAACAGCATATAAACCTCTATGGGTTATCCAATGCTGAAATCTAATATTTTGAACGCAATTGTATGCCTTCAATCACGGATAAAATGTATTGTTGGTCATTTTGATATAACTAGGTATTGTTAATCATTTTGTTATAAATAGGTATTGTTGGTCATTTTACTATAAATATATACTGTTGGTCATTTTAGTGTAACTATGGATTATTGGTAATTTTTTATATAAAAGTGTATTGCTGGTATTTTTACTACAAAAATCTATTTTTATACTTTTATAGTTTTGTTTTTGCTTGGGGGTTCACTATTTGCCCAAAGCTGGGACCCTAACAGGTGCTACCAACCTGGATCAAGGTGGACCTGGGAACAGCAATTAAGAGGTGGTTCCAAGCTCCTCAAAACCTCCAATCTTCCAAATAGAGCCCTTGCTGCTGGATGTAGTTTATTGTCATACCCAGGACTCAAAGAATTTAAAACTGTAGTGATCGGGGAAGCAACCTTTTGGGGTTCCATTCCAGAATGTACTAGTTCTTAGGAAGAAGCTGTCCAAGTAGAACTTCTTACTAATAGAATACAAAGGAAATTAGTATGGTTTGTTAAAGTATATGTGGTATGGTGATATTCTAAATATAGCTTAGCTGTGGCACAGGGCTGAAAGTATGGTGCACCCAGTTAGAATTGAACTCATTAGTCAGCTACAATTGTTCTAATGAGACAAGCTTGCTAACCATTGTCTACATCGAGGTGCCCCAAGTGTATTTGGCAGGGTAGTTTCAGTAATTGGGAAATGTGAAGATGATATTAAAACAATACAAAAAAAATGGGGAGTAGGCTAAGACTGAAACAAAAATTTCAAATTTCATCGTTAACTTATTCTACGGATATTATTAAAGTAGTAGAAAGTCTGTTCATTCATGAATCAATCTGACAAGAATTCACCAGTCAACTGAAAGTGTTTCCCTCAATAGAAAAAAAAAATGAAAAAACAACTAGTTTAAATTGAGCTACTTGGGATGAATCCATTCAAACTAGCAGGGGAGACTGGTTAATTCAACAAAGCATCAGTTTTTATAACCAAAAGGATTTAAGTTCAATCCCTATGCAGAGTAACAAATATTGTCCATAGAATAGAAATTAACATTCATATCAGCAGTTTTGACCAGCTACTCAAAAAATTAAACATCTATCAGATTTCATTTAGAGCTACACTATCTTCATAGGCAGTTTCCCTTTTTAATCAAAAATAGAAAACTCAAAAAAAGTTGGTGGTAGGGAAGATCAAAAACAAGAAATGACAGATCATAGGTACCTTTCCACTGAGTCAAAGAGACATCTTTAACTTTTAGCACTCTGAAGTTGACTTTTTTTATCAAGCAAAATGTTTATTCTGCCAATGCAGGTGACTCTTATTACTGAAAAATAATGCATTTCAATTTCATGGTTGTGTTATCATATCCTGTTATGGCAACAGCAAAATTATCTTGAGTAAAACCAACAAATATACAGTAGAAGTAATACTTGTGAATAATGCAGTGTGCTAAAGATTAATAATAAAATATGTCTCTGGAACAATTTATTACAGTCAGCTAGTATGCATTACCTTTAAGGACCAAGACTGTAGTTAATCAGAAGGGTTGAAGAGATTAAAATTATAACCTTCAAAAAACATAATCTAAAATATCCAATAGTAAGATTGCAAGATTTTCCTTAAACAAGTAGTTTTTTTTTGTTTTTTTTAAGTGGGAGT